AGCCCACAGAGTCAGAAATTGCCAATACTTATAGCTCACTGGTAGAGTGCATTTGGAGGATCTTGGGGGTTCATTGATTGCCATGTCCTTTTGCAAGGATTTCAGGTAGCAAGTGGTGAGAAAGACACCCGGAATATCCATTGCCAAGCCAACGCATTTTATCACCTAAGGCAGTGGAGGTGAGGACTCGGTTTTGTTGGGGGCAGTGAATCTCCAAGTCCCAACGTGGGTTCAGCACCTTGGATACCTCCCATGAAGCTGAAACTAAGACACAGAACAGGTGTGTCGACTCCACAAAATTGGAGTCTCTGGCCTCCACTGGCCTGAAGACAAGATGGTATCTTCTCTCATTCCATAGTCAAAAGGCCATCTGGGCTGGCAGTGACTCTTTGTTCAATTCGAGTGGTGGGCAATATTCCCTCAAATTTTCAGCCCTGCTAGGCAGGGCTTCACCCCCCATGCAGGGTTCGGTTTTGTTGCAACCAGAACCAGAGGGGCTGGAAATGCTTGCTTTGGGTGCGTGGAGGAGGAGGAAAGCTGTGCGGATTGGGGTGTAGTCATGCGCCATGCGCGCTTGCACAGTCACACACCTGCGAGGGAACTTTGGTGGTGGGTCAGCATGCCCCACCCCACTGGAAGGTGTGGTGGCATCAGGTGGCCTAAGGGGCATTAGGCAAGGCCTATGATATGGAGCTTTTTCCAGCAACATCTTGCTGCCACCTCTTACTATCTGCCACCTGAGGGGACCATCTAGGCCTCCCTAATAGTAGAGTCAGCTTTGCAGGCAGAATAGACAGTGCTGAGCTGGGCAGACAGAGGATTTGGCATCATGAAAATAAGGCTCCCCATGTTCCTGGTTGAGTGTGTTTGGGTGTTACTCTTCCTATCATGAGTCTTCAGGATGCAGCATGATAGAACCCCCAAATATCAAGTCTACTGAGGAGTCAAAGGAGAATAATAAGCCTTTTCTTCCGCAGACATCCACTGCCCCACTGGGATGACTTGTTTATTCCTTCACTCTCCACTCCTGAACCTCTTTCATATTTTTCAGACAAATTCTATTAGGGCTGCTGCCGGACGACTTCTAGTCAGTCACACTCGTTTCCCCTTTTCTATCAAATCTCATCACACATTAATGAGGATACAAGCAATCATGTGCCACAGAGATGCTGTCTTTCCCCCGTTGCTCCCACAGCCAAGTTGCAGATGGCCCTCTTGTGTTTTGGAAGTCTGGAGGAAATGAAGATCATCCACATTTCATTTGGCTTCCCGACGCATCTTCCCAGGGCTGAGGTTTTGGCAGCCTTCGTCTTGCATGGGGTTATTTATGAAATGGAATATTCATCCTGCACCGCCGATGACAAGCTGACGAGCTTTCCATGCAGTTCAGTGGCAGGATTGGTTCCAGTTGCGCACAGCCACTCAGTGTTACCTTTTGTGTTCTTATTGGCATAAACTGGTGCAGGCTGTACCTTCACTTGTTACCGGTCCTTCATTCATCATGTGAGGCAGCTCAACCCAAGACTGGAAGTAACTGGTTATGGACAGTGTGTTGTGTCTAATGAACTCTTTTTACCCAGTAACAAAGAAATAGCCAGATTACATCACTGTTGTAACTTATCAAGGGGAAACTTTGTTCCTTTTGTGGCATAACTGTAACCTTTTAGTTACGGTTACGGCTAACAGGAGTGTAGCCTCATTAGATGGTGAACGAGAATATCAAACGGTTGTTATCTGGCTTCTGCAGCCATCCGCTGCCCTGTTGTCCATATTGAGGCAACTGTGAAGTGGCTGGAAAGACAATATAGCTTTTGCCTGTAATTCAGCCATTTTGAAGAATAACCCAATTCTAATTACATGTAAGAAACAGGCAGGTCAAGAGTTACTTCGAGAACTATAACAACCACCACAGCAAACCAGTGTCCCACATACAGGATGTTGGCTCTCACCTGTAACACCATTCAGAGTTCGGAGCTAAATCTCAAAGAACACCCTCCTTATAAGGTCTTCCTCACCCAGATTTATTCTTCCTTAGGTTTTAGCTCCCAGTTCCCAGCAGGGCTGGACATACCCTCCCATTTATCTCACATTCCCATATTTTAAACTGAACTCAAGACATGTGGATTTGGGTGAAATTCTTCTAGACTAAACTGAAACGAATTCTCCCCCAATTGCATCAGCCGGTAGGTACGGCTGTTCTCGGTGGGATGAGGACCATGTTTTCCCCACTTGCCGAGTAGTCTTAAAAATGAGGATCCTCATCTTGTGGAGGTGACAACCCAAACTGATCCCCTATATACTTGGAGGGACATATAGTGCAACCCAAACTTTCAAGCAGAAGGCACTCCAAGTCTTGGGATTTTCTAGACAACTCCCACATTCAATTGTTAGAAATGTTTCTTTCCCTCTCAAAAGTAAAGGAAGTTGCAGACAACTCAACAAAATCCCCAGCCATCCTTACTTTTGTGGCTGCAGGTGGACTGCTTGGGCGAGGAGAACTGAATGAACTCTTCCTTCATTCGCAGGTCTTACCCCCCTATCCCATTGCAGTTCCAGAAAGGCTGCTAAGAAACATTGCTTCCATCTTTGATTCCGTTGGCTCATTTTGCTCGTCCCTATTCTTGCCACTTCTGTTGGCTCCTGAATTTGTCACTCTACTCCATCTTGAGCACCATTTGATAAATGATCGACAACAACCAAATACATTTTCAGTTCTCATGCCCTGCCTCTTCAAAGTCAAAGGGGCTCCACTTATTGAGATACACACACACACACACACACACACACACACACCAATCCAGAAGACTATTTAGTAAATACTTAAACCCTTCTGTCACCCTTCAACTCATGGGGCCACCCACTTGTCATTATCCCTACAACCAGATATCTGATTTAATTTTGCAACGGTAGATTAATGCTTAAAATTGCAGAGCTCCCCCCCCCCAGTTAATGGTCAGTAAATGACTTGGGGGAGGGAGGGAGGGAGGGGGCATGGGATTCATCAGCCTTCTTGTCATTTTAATTCCCGTTTTAAGTTGTTCTATAAATATGTCTTTATGGATGTCGTTTGACTAGCTTAAAAACATCTAATTGGGACCAGTTGCTTAAATCTCTTTGGATCAAGAAGGCTGTAATAAGCAAAGAAAGGGTATCTTATCCCTCCAATCCAGAAACGCTTAGCAACTGGTACCCCTGATGCATGTATAATCAGTTTATTTTCAGTTTCTCATTTCATCTCTTTTTCAAAAAGAAAAAAAATCCTTTGCCTTCCCCCGGTGTGATCTAATACTTCACTTTAAAGGCTGTGTTTCTTCTTATCCTTAAGATCGTCAGCTTTAGAAATGACAATGTAGAAAGCATAGGAGCTTAAGACGCTGAAAGGCTTAAAGAGTGTCTTATTACTGACATAATGATTTCCCTTCTATCATAAATGTGGAATATAACAGTGAAGTGGCCTTCCAACGTGCTAACGATTTGTCTCCATTTGGATCTTACTATTTTGATTTTGCTTACAATCCCTGCTGGAGGTTAAAGTAGTCTTTGCAACAGGCTTTTTTCAAAATCCAGTGAGTGCTGTCCCATATCCTGTTGGTTTTAGTTGTGCACAGATCCACCACCACCACTTAACTAATATTCTGTCCACCAGTTAGAATCTCACCATATGAATTGACTGGAGAGAAAAATCCCCCCCTTTTTTTGTATGCAGAAGTTCTCAATTGGTACCTAGTGTTTTAGTGCAGGCATGCTCTCGTTCTGCAAACAGCACGCTATGCTGAGGGCCTGTGATGGGTGGAAAGATGGCGGAGGGTGCTTCACTAGAGATGTTGTTCCTTCTGCCACATATACTGAGGAAGATAGAGGCAGCTGAGTCAGACCCTTAGTCTATCTAACTCAGTCTTGTCTGCTCTGACTGGCAGCAACAGCACTCGACCATTTCAGGCAGGGTTCTTTCCTAGCCCTGCCTGGGGATCTCTGGTATTGCTTGGTGGTCTCCCACCCAACCACTACCCAGGCCCAATACTGCTCAGCTTCCAAAATCTGCTGAGACCAGTATTTCCAAACTGGTTAGTATAACTTGGGACTCCTGGCTTACATGTCTGGGGAGTTGGAAGGCCCAAGGGAGAGGAAAGACACAACCCCCCCCCAGCAAATTTCAAGAGTGGGGGATGAAATACAATGAAGTAAAAATAATGATCCTTCATTGAAGCACCTCTTGGTGATTATAGTTCTTTTTTAGATTGATATGATGGGGTGAAAGTGTCATTGTATTTGGAACTTTTAGGGTACAGGATAGATAGCAATCATATTTTCCCCCAGGTGGCCCCATTAGCACAATCCTATATCATCAGATAGCATTTCCCTCTGGAAATGGGGGAATGACTGGCAACCACCATGAAAGGCGCCAACAGTATGGCATGAGAGAGGAGCTACTCAGCCTTTCCACAAGCAAAGAAGCATAGCACGTCTGGGAGGTTAAGAATGCTGCTCTGATGTCACCTGATTCTTCAAACCAGGAAGTTTCCATGTGGAGCGTTTGAACTGGTTAGAGCTCAGTTCTCTAAGCACAGCCCTTGATGGGACCATGGACAAGACAGGCAATATTTGGGGGGGGGGGGCTTCCACAGACCATCCTGGTGGTCAAGAAAACTTTTTCACTCACTCGAGCTACCAGCTCATTTCTGTTTTCAGTCCAAAAAACCAATCAAACCCTGCAAGACCCTTTCCACCACCCAGCCCAAAACCACGCTGCAAACCCCACTCAGAACAGTTTTTAAAAAGTAGAAAGCAGCACCTTACTAGGCAGTCCGAAGCCTCCTCGGATTGCACACTCTCTAACTGCTGGGGCAAAAGAGCTACAAGGAAACAGCCTCTTCACTACCCAAAGGTTAGCAATTTGAATTCCTCACCTTTTTTGCCTGCCTTTTTCTGGTTGTAACTCGAAGTTCCAGTAGCAAGTCGAAGCAAAATTTTGCCGCCGGAGCTAGTTGTAACTCGAAATGGTCATATGTCGGGACGTTCATGAGTCAAGGCACCACTGTATCAGGAGAAAATGAACACCTGAGACATCCATCTAGCACCTAATTAGATTTGTTAGTTTAATTTGTGCAGATGTGGAAGTAAGTAACATTAAAGCAGAGAACAAGGAGAATACAACATTTTGTGTTTCGTGAGCAGCAGTCGCTCCATAAATTATCTAATTCAAAATACTGAAGAACTACCCTATTCTGGCAGGTCAGATTTTGAGGCAGCTGAGTTTTGGAAGGAAAACTTAGGGTATGTCACATACCGTTTTATTCTAACCATGCTTGTCATCACCTGCCTGCTCAGCAAAGCAAATAATAAAGGATCTTTATTATTCCAAAATTATGTAACTCGAAAGCATGACAGATAATTTAAAACAAGGGGAGCTCAAGAGCTGTCCTGTTTCATTTGAAATATGCACCTAAAAGTAGCTTTACCGGTACCTTGGCCCATTAATCTCAGATGTATTTTTTGAAGGCCGTGACTGTGTAGATTAGGGAGGGGGGAGGGGTTGTAATAAATCTGAAGCTTGTGTTTTGACATCTTACCTTTTGCATAACGTGGGTCATGTCCGATCGGTGTCCTCTGCAAGGCGATGTTGACTTCCCCTTTACTTAGGAGATGAAGAGCTGGTTGCATGGAGCCCGGAGCCATGGAATAGAGGATGCATGGTGTTTAGGAAAGAAGTGCCTTATCTCCAGCCTCAGTCTCCACATCTGTCAAATGGGATGAATGACTCCCAATTTACTTTACACCATTGGGTGTACAGAAGCAGACTCTGAAGAAGTTACTTTTTTCAGGACGGCTGCTCCCATTATGGTTCTCTCTGCCAGCACACTGGCTGATGACTTGGCCATTGATGCCACAAACTTTGAAAGGCCATTGAGCGTTGGTGTTGAATAAATAGCTAAAATGTGTGCTGATGAGTCCAGCAACCAGGACACCAGCAAAGTGTGGATGGCGAAAGAGTCAGGCAGAGGCCTGAGTTCAAATGTTGAGTGAGCTATGAAACTTAACTCAGTGACACGGGACCAGTCCCTTCCTTGCTGCCTAACCTACCTTAGAAGTCATCTGCCATGAGTTTCTCAGAGGAATACCAGGGCATGGGAATAAAATAAATAAATAAACAAATTCTGAAAAATTGCTCAGCTTCATTAATTCCATTAATTCAGGTCTGGAGAGGAAGGGGTAGGAAAGCAACACTGCCGTTTGTCTAGGAGAACATTCCTTCCCCTACTACAACTTCCATCATCCAGGAGCTGGTTGCTATAGGATGTGTCATAAACAACCTTAGGGCAGGGGATAGATGAAGTGTGGTACCTCCCAGATATCCCATCATCCCTCTCCCTTGGACTTACTGACTAGGGCTGGCAGGAGTTACGCCCCACCAGCACAACGAGACTGTGGCGAGAGGACATTCTTTTCTCACACTTCTATGTCTCATCCAGTTTAATCCTTGGGCGTAAGCAAAGCTTGGGAAGTTTCTCTTCAGGACTAAATGTACCTGAATAACCAAACCAGCATGGGCAGTACTCGTGCCGTCTGTGGGATCCTGGTAGCTACAGTCCAGAAAAGTAACTTTTCCAAGCTCTGAACACGGGGACATTTGCAGATTGGAGTATCTGTTCAATAGCGCTTCCCTTTTGGAGGCTCCCAGGGTTTTCTTTCGGGCTTCGGTACGTAAGAGAAAGAGAGACGGTGGACCTGGATATACTGGGTAGTTTACCATAGATCAGCAAGGATTTCTGATCACAGGGTTTGGTTTTGTTTTTAAAGAATAGCAACAACATTACCATTTATACTTCAGAAATAAGGAAAGGCTGGGGTGACCTGGACTGAATATTGATGTAGAAAAGTTCTGGCACTAATTGCTGTTAGTTTAGACGAGGGTGGGAGAGGGTGTTTTGTATGTTTGTGTGTGTTCTTTTTAGGATGCTACATTAGGATGTTGTACAACTGATACAGTGATACTGTAATTTCCAAAGGGGAGTTTGAGTTCAGCAGGTTAAAATATACAAGTTCAGTCCCAGTATTATTTGGGGATGTTCACACTTCTGCATCCCAGTAGAGAAATTAGATACTGCGGCTTTTAAAACATGGTTTACAGGTTAAAAGAAGGAAAGAACAATAAAATTGAACTGCCCCAGAACTTTTAATGAGTTTTGCAGAAGAGGTTTTTACAACCATAATGTCCATTAGCGGATTTGCAGGATGTGTTTCATTGCTTAGCAACCCCAGAGCTGCTTCTGCCATAGCTCCAGTCTAGGCTGCCAGCCCTAATGTTAGGCAAAGCAAGGCAGCCTCCTGAAGCAGTAGATGGTGGGAAGCAGTGCAGGCAGTGCCAGATCTTCTTCTCATGGGACTTTCCGGCTATTAAAGGACGGAGCTGCGTGGTACACAGCCTGTCCTGGGTTTGCTAAACTAGCTCCCTAATTCTTGGTAAGGCCCTATACAAACGACTCATCTTCCCCATACATTTACTGAAAGAGAAAAGACGCAGGATCCCTGGCCTGCAGTTCCAGAACAGCCCTATGTTTAGAACAATAACCTGTGGACCAGGCAGCCCTGGTTTCAAATTTCCACCCCAGTCACAAATTGAGTCCCTGTGCTCCCCTTTGAAGCCTCCTGGTACTGCTTTGCATGACCATAGAGTTCCCAGAGCACGGCCTGGCATTGGGAGAAGGGAAATTTCTGTCCCACGTCAGGTGACCCCGTCCCTTGATGCTCAGTATGTGAAAGTGAAGAAGCAGAACCTGGAAGCCGAGGTGGTCGTTCCATATGGCTTGGAAAGCCTCCGCCTTGAGATCTCTAGTAGCTACTCCTAAATCAGTACAGCTACTACTGACATGAGTTGAATGTTTGTTGTAAAGCAATATTCTGTCTTAGTTTGTGTTTTTTTTTCCCCCTAGACTTGCCATGTAAGTGTACAAAATAACAGCGCAGACACAAAATGCTGTGGTATTTGAATTTTGTTTCAAGCTGTGGAGCCAGACAAATAGAAGTTTAGTTTGCACCTTGGGCTCTTTTCTTTTGTGATCGGCGTTTGGGTTTTGGAATGAAAAAAATGTAAAGGCTTTCTCCGCAAATATAGGGGAGGAGTGGATCACATGCTTCCAGAATTGCAGGAGGGGAAAGAACCAAATTTGTTGAGAATCTTTCATCAAAGGCCACCCTTACCCCCTCTTCTTAATTTTCTATCTTCCTTTCAGCAGTCCGCTATGAAACCTCATGACCTTTTCACCTTTCAACTTCGCCTGAACTTGGAAAGAAGACTTGTGAATTGTAGAGTTGTGGGGGGGGGGCAGTAGGAACAGAAGAATGGGGAGAGAAGAGGTCTGATTGTATGTTACCGTAACAGTAATACTAGGAAAATAATCCTTCTCTTGTACATGAGTTTTTGCTCCTGCAGCCTCCAGGGGTAATAAGCTCATGTGACATGCCAGAGAGCTAATACTGGCCTATGGTGATATGTTGTTGGGTTTCTGTGTGTGTGTGTCCCCACTCCTGCGTCTTTTCTTTTGCTGTGTATTTAAACAAAGGCTGATTATCCAAACAAGAATTTAGACTGCAGCGGGCATCCCAGTCTAAGTGCTAGTTAGGAAGACCTGGGAAGTTCTAGGAGGATAGAAGGTTCCTTGTTTGGTAGAGGCAGTTGCCATGGTCTCCCTGGAGCATGCTTACTCAGAGGAGCCCTACCAAACTCAGTGGGATTTTCTCGCAGGCAAAGAGGTATAGGATTGCAGCCTAAGAAGTTTAAGAAGAAAGCTTTGAGGAATGTGGTGTAACTATAAGAAAGGCGTATGTGTGCGTATTAAATCCGTGTGTATGTAGATAGTGGCAAACCTGCAGCATTAGAAAAAACCAACTGTGAAACTATACTTTGTCAGATAAGTAGCAAAAAGTTAGAGGACTAACCTGCAGCCTCTACCCGCAAGATTTCACCTATTCATTTTTTTTGACCAGCTTACAAATTTGAAACATCTGGGTTAATGTTAATACATCAACACTGATGTTGAACAATAAATTAACTCATTAACATTAAATAGGAATGGATATATTCACTTGTTTGAGAAGTGCTGGCAAGAATAACGAATTTCAGCATTCTTCCTGTCACTGGCAAGGATGGTAGGTATCTTCCTGGTGGTGTTGACAGAGCCCTTCCATCGGCAAGAACTATATTTTCAGCAAACCCACCCAAAATTGCACACAAATTCCTTTTTGTTTGCACAGAGTTCTGCCGTTGTCACAACTGCGCAGATTGTGCAGATTTCCCCAGAACTAGAATAGCGCTCAATGCCTTTAAGAATTCCAAGCACTGAATGGGTTGTTGTTTTTCTTAACAACCTGCCATTCTTGTGTTTTTATACTCTGAGTGTACTTTGCTTCTCAAGGGGAAAAGACACTAGAAACATTTTGCATTCATTACAGAGACTGTCAGGGGTTCAGGCTACAAGTAAGAAACCTCACTGACCTTTAAAATTTCCTGTCAGGTACATTGTCATATCAAGACATCCTAAATGAACAAAAATGAGAATTTAGTAAGTATTCTTCCTATAAATTCTTAAGAGAAAACAGTAACTTTCATTCAGCATTTTAATCACTATGAACATGTTAACGTAATTATATATTTTAACCAATTAAAATGACAATCAATGACTAGTGATCCCCTGTTAATTTAGATCAACCTGAAACATTGACAAGACGTATAACATCTTTGCCATAAAATATTAGCCAGAATCCTATTGCGCAGCTCTGCTGGCATAAAGGCCAATGATGTCATCTACCATGAACTGTAATCTTGAGTTTAAGCTTTCCTATTCCCAGCTCCTAGTTTCTGAGGTTCCCTAGGGATCCCTTTCAAAGCCTTGAAATATCTGAAAATTGCTGTCAGCAGTCTCAGTCTGGATGGTAAGATCAGTGGGAACTATTTCTAGAATTGCACAACAGGATTCTGGCCAATAACATGAGCCTCAAGCCTCTGAACTGTGTCCTGATCAGAGTCCTATTGCTTAGTGTAGTAAACTGTACTAGATTTGGCCGACTGAATCAGTGAGGATTCAGTGAGTCATAAAAGTTTATTTGATTTAAATGGACTTACTCTAACTGTGACTTACTATATTAAAGTGACTGCAATTTATTACACTAAGCAACAGGATCTTGGCTGTTGTCGCCAGTGGCCTTGGAAAATGTTGCCCATCTCTGTGTTATGGCCAAGTGTCAGCCTACTGGCCTACAGATTGTTGCAACTATGGTGAGTTCCAGGGCTCATGTGGGTATGTTAAGGTTTCCATTAAATAGGTCAAGCCTCCCACCCTTTGATTAACACAGCAACAGAGAAATTAAACATTAACTCACCAATTTCTTCTTAGGTTTCTTCTCTCCTTCCAGAGTTTTGCCCAGAGTAATCTACATCTGAAGAACCTCAATGTTTATCTTGATTGAAAATCTTTTTTAAAAGCAAGTTTTAAACAGGAGAAGGCTAATTTCCTCTCCATCTAAACAACCAGTGTTGTATACGAAATTTTCTCCCAGACCATGATGCCATCATTGCCTGAAGGGATTCTAAGCTCCACTTTTCATCTTCCACCCCTCTAAGAAATCACAAAGCAGTATCCAGACCAGGCATATGATCAGGTCTGCTAAGTTCATACAATAGATAGCTTGGCTGAGTTGCTTATTGTAGTCAAGGTTTAGCATCAGAATTAACATCTCCGTCCAGGTGCACTTCCTTTAAGTTCCAGTCCAAGACGTTTTGCCGCCTGAGCTGCTGCCCTCTCTATTCAGCAAATTCAAGGTGGCTCATATCCAATCCCAACTAAGTTACTGTATTTTGGCAGCAGAGGCTTCTCTCTTCACCTGACAGTACAAATATCAAAGTAGCTTCTCATAATACCCACATCTGTTGCCTGAAGTCGCTGCACATCCTACTTCCCCCCCCACACCACATATTTAATGCCAGATATTGTAAGGAGAGGGTGAGGTAACAGTCCTCACCTCCATTCTTTTCCCAGCATGCCACCTGGCCTGCAACACATCACACTAGGGGGGAGAGAGGATCCAAAATCATTCTGGGAAAAGGAAGATGGCCATCTCTTCTTTTCAGAGCTTTTTGTTTCTCCCCATAAGGAGAGACTCAAGGAACAGTAGGACTGCTCATATAGAAGAAAAATGGCCTGTGTGAATGCAGTCTGCAGGAATTGCCATTTAATTTGATAAAAATGGTATCCGTTCCCCTTTTTTATGCCAAAAGGAGCTTTGTTAGTTATTACTTGCTCTGCTTCAAATTGCTTCTTGGTTGAATCAAGTTGCCTTACACTGCAGTGAGATGATTGAAACAGCACTCTGGCAATTTAAGAGGCCTTGGTTTATGACCTTAATTCAAATGTTGGTTGGTCGTACCTGGAATACCCATCAGGATGCATACCGATGGCAATAAAATGCAGAAAAGGTTAGCCACATCAAATTGAGTATTTAATGTGAGACTATGGCCAAGTTGTTGACAGAAGGAATCTAAAATTTTACAACCTCCTCTCTTCAGATGTTCTGAAAATCATTTTGGTTGCCGACAGGGAGTCGACGAAATGTGGTTTGAGCATAAGTGAAAGGGCTTTATTTTTCATTGTGTGGTTTTTGGTCCAGGAGACTTACCTTTTCAGCAGTGTTTCCCCAACATGTCTGTTGACTATAAATGGCATCCTCTTCTCCCTGTTGCTCCTCCCTTGTCTTAGGCAATTAATCTTCTCCTCACTCCTTGGCTTGGTCAAGCCATACCAAGGTTACCAAGGGAATAACTGAGGGGAGGAAGTGGAATAAAAATTCTTAAGTATGGCAGGAAGTCATCTCTCTTGTCCTCTTGACGGGAGCACCCAACATATCATTTCCTCTCCTCCTGACTTTCAGACTAATTTGATTTTTAAAAGGTGAACCTGAATACCACAGAGATGGTGGCGTGTTGGTGGAAAGTGTGGTCAAAAAGCAAAAGAAGCCAAGGAGTGAAAGAAATTCTGTTGGCCCATCGCAGCTAAGCTTGACTAAGAAAAAACAGAAGACTACTTATTTGGGTAACCTTCCTGTTGTGACAGATGCAGTCCCGGATTCTGCTTGAGGGCCTCAGCTTTGCTGAAAGGAAACCAAAGGAAATTGCCCCAGTGTAGAAACTGGAGCACTCTTAAATCACCAGCAATAATGCAAATGTTTTTGTTTAAAAGTTCTAAATCAGTCAGTCAAAATTCTTCTGCATAAATGTGATGGAAGGGAGCCAAATGGATGCCCTGGCACAAGTGTCACTGGGGCTAAGCAGGTGTCGGCTGAATCAGTAATCTAGACAGGAGGTTGGTGGCACAGGGGAGGAGGAAAGACATGGGAGCAGGAGAAGACAAACAAGCAAGCAGGATGATATGCTTGTTTATGTATTTGTTGTATTTATATCACACCTTTCTTGCTTCAGTTCATGACTCTCATTTTCCTAGCTCTATAAGGCTGATCAGGCTGAGAGTTTCTGGACTAAGGCCACTCATAGGGGACTTGAACCCAGATCTCGCAAATCACAGTCCAGTACCTGTGACTGCTACACCCCAAAGGAAATTTTGAGTGCAAATGGTGGCAAATGGCCACCTTCATTCGTGAGCATCAGTCCTTTTACATGGGCCCCATTCATTTCAAGTGTGAAGACTTATCATTTTATTATTATTA